AAGTTAAATATTGAAACGATAGTTAATTGACTGTACTTACATGCATGTTTTTATACTTTGATGTGTGGCATGTTAATTAGGAGGCTAGGAGGAATTCTGGCCTAAGCATGTTTGAGATCCTAGCTCTTTTTTTCTAAAAATTGTAGTAACTAGTAAGTTAGCTTTATTTTTAATGTTGCAGAAAGACCACCAGGCCATTGATATTCTTCTTGCTGAGATTGATATATATGAGCTTTTTGCTTTTAAACATTGCAAGGGAAGGAAAGTCAAACTTGCTCTTTGTCAAGGTAATCTGTTTAATATTTTTGGGCTTTGTTTTTTAAATTAAACTTGCATAGCGAGCTATGGCTCAAGGGTAAGGTTGTTGCCTTGTGACCAGGAGATCATGTCAACTCCTCAAGAAAACCCTCTCCTCTTGGAGAAATAAGGCTTTTACATCTACTCTTTACAGACCCTACATAGCGAATAGTCTTGTGCATTGTGCTGATTAAAATTGAAGTTTGTCTAATACATTTTTTCCATAAAAAAATGTTTTCTTGAGCTAACAAAGGTTAGACACCAGTATGGTAGTCATTTGGACATGTTTGTACTTCCATACACCTCACCTCGTCTAGTGCTCCCAGAAGTTTAATATCTATTATATTTTTCATACATCCTTAAATATGTGATAATTTCAGAACTTGACGAGAGGATGCGGGATTTGAAAAATGAGCTACAGTCTTTTGAAGGTGAAGAATACGATGAAAGTCATAAGGCAAAAGCCATAGAGACACTAAAGAGGATGGAGAGCTGGAATTTATTCACTGACACACATGAGGTCAGCTGATTGGTCCGTCTGTGTTGAGGCTCGTTTGTCTGACCGTTTTTAATTTTAAAAGTCTATTTAAGAGGCTTTAGGGTTTTCCCAAATAAATAGAATTTGAAAAAAAAAAAAGATTTATGATTATTTTGAAAAGTTGCTTTTTGTCACTTTTGAAAAGTTACCTTTGGTCATTTTTATAATTGTTACCAAATAGAAAACAGTTTCTTCCTTCATCAAAGAAAAATGACTTTTTGACACCTTTATCAACACCGTATGCATGATTCACGTAATGCTACATGGTTAATGACTTGCAAATACTTGGTTAATTCAGTTCATTACATGCTAATGAGTTATTACTATTTTTCACAGAATTAACTTATTTTTTCACAACCCACTGAAAAAGTACATGGTTAATAACGTGTAACATGGTTAATTCAATTCAGTACTAGCATGGTTCATGGGTTTGCCTCAATGCAGGAGTTGCAAAACTACACAGTTGCACGTGATTCGTTTCTTGCACATCTTGGGGCGACACTGTGGGGATCTATGAGACATATTGTATCACCTTCAGTTTCTGATGGGGCCTTCCATTATTATGAGAAGATATCCTTTCAGTTGTTTTTCATGACACAGGAGGTAAGATGTATGTTCCATCATATAGAAAGGCTTGCACTAGTGGAATATTTATGTTCTTGCTATTATATTTGCAGAAAGTTAAACACATTAAACAACTTCCTGTGGATATGAATGCTATAAAGGAAGGACTCTCTTCATTGATGGCACCTTCTCAGCAGCCAATGTTCAGTCCGCACATGTATGCAGTCATAAGTGTTTTATTCTGCTCTTTTCTTTTCCAACCTCAATTAGAATTTGGCTGGTGAAGGTTCTTTGCAGGCACTCTGAAAAATGCTTGATTAGTCACGTTGTTTGCATTTTTCCTAGTTTTTTTTATACTAATGTTACTAAGTTTCAGGTTACCTCTGTCAGATGATCCTGATTTAGCGATGGCCTTCTCTGTTGCACGACGAGCAGCTGCTGTGCCCCTGTTACTTGTTAATGGAACATACCGAAAGACAATTCGCACCTATCTTGATTCTTCCATTCTGCAGTATCAGTTGCAAAGGCTAAATAAACATGGTTCTCTTAAAGGTCTCCTTCTTATGTGCTCCTTTAATTTTTAGAATGGAATTTGCATATAGCCGGGAACAAATAGATTTGATTGGGCCATCCTCTTGAATTAATAAATACTAAATAAGGGAAAGTTCTAAAGTAAAAGAATTCTGTCCATTAATAACTTAATAGCGAGCGCTAGCCTAATATTGTTGCAGTTTAGTTTTTTCTTATTGAAGCTTTGATATTTTTTGCTTCTGTTTTGAATGGTCAAAGCTCATCTTTTACCTCTTGCTCTTGATGGTTAGGCTTTGGTAGCTTTTGCTTTATGGTGGTTCAGGCTTCTTGATTGGTTTGGTTTGAAGTTTTGATATCATTGGTTGATTGTGTTATCATTCTTCGATGGTTTGTCCAAAAGATATTTTCTTGGGCAGTTGCGAGTCTAGAAATTTTCAATATTGTGGAAAACAAAATAGCCAAAACATATTCACAAATGAAATATACTTCAAACTTATACAAAAAAATACACTATCATGAACAAAATCTCCAAAAATTAGTGTATAATATGTAGAACGGTGTTTCCTTTCCAACATATGATATATTTTGTATCAGTGTATGCTTAGTGTAAAGAAGTGATAAACATTAGGAGAATAAATTATCAAAATTTGTATTAGTTTACAGTGTTTTATCTCTTATAACTTTCCACATTAACTTAAAAAACTTATTTATGTAAGCTATAATTCTTTTTTTATTGGGTCAGATTAAAAGTTATTTGACACTTCAAAGTCAATTTCCCCTTTTCTGGGACAAGTGCCCCCATAATGATATGCATTGTATCCACCGTGGTGTTTGGGTTTGTTTAGTTCACGTGTTATATTTTCTCTTTCAAAAGGTATATTTGTGACAAGTTTAAATCTTTGCAAGCTTTAATTCGAGGGGGAGTGTTGGAATATTATAAAATATTTTATAGTATCTTTAATATTGTATTTGAGTGTCTTAAGATATTTCCTAGAATTAGTTTATAATTTAGGATTAGATTTTATTTATTATTATTATTATTATTATTATTATTATTATTATTATTATTATGATTTGTTGGTTAAGGATTGAGTCTATGTATCCATACAAATAGAGATTAGTGTATAGGCTTTGGTATCAAGGTAGTATTAAGCCATTCTCATTAATATTCAAAGTTCTTATTATTTCTTTCCCTCTTTTATCTAAAATCCCCCAACTTCATTGAGTTTTTTTTTCCTTATTTCCTTTTATTTGAGAAAGTTTTTCTCTTCTGTTACTCAATAATATGGTATATGACTAAGATAATAATCTTTATAAACCAAGCAGGCAGGCATGCAAATTCAAGGTCCATGCTAGAGGTTCCAATCTTTTGGTTCATTCACAGTGATCCATTGTTACTAGACAAACATTTTCAGGCTAAAGCACTATCCGACATGATTATTGTCGTTCAGTCAGAACCCTCTTCTTGGGAAAGCCATTTACATTGTAATGGGCAATCACTTCTAATGAACTTGAGGTTAGAGTCAGAAACATAAACTTTTAAATTGTCTTTTTCATATAACTTGTAAAGTAGGTATTATTCATTGGCTGTATTGAAAATATATTCATGATGGAGCTGAAAGATTCAGGATATTACGGGATGTCTAATCATATTCATCATAGGCCTTACATTTTCAACTTTTTGTGAGATTATGGATTTTTATTAATTTGATAGGGGGAAGGGAGAAATTGAAATCTCAAGTCATATAATGTTACAATATTATTCAAGATATAATTTTTCTGAAGATACTAGGCAATATTTGAACTTTTGTATTAAACAATTGTGTTAAGACCTTTTTTTATGGAACATAAAGCCACTTATTAATTCTTCCATGGTTTTATCCTTCATCTGGTCTATAAAGGCAGCCTATAAAAGCTACAGTAGCTGCTACTGCTGAGCATCTTGCGGGTTTGCTTCCTCTTCATCTTGTTTATAGTCAAGCCCATGAGACTGCAATGGAGGTACGCTTGTATGTCAAATCTATTCTTATGATGCATATAGTAAATTAGGTCTAATTAAATAGACATATTCCATTTGTTGAGCAAACTCAAGTAATGTGAAATGATTGTTGGTGTGCATACTTTTTTCCCCTCCCCATTATCAAGTATAGTTAAACTGCAGTGGCTAAAGATTTATTTCTGAACATGACAGGACTGGATATGGTCGGTAGGATGCAATCCTTTCTCTGCTACATCACAAGGTTGGCGCATTTCGCAGTTCCAGTCTGATTCAATTGCTCGAAGTTATATCATCACAACTCTTGAAGAATCGATCCAACTGGTTAATTCTGCCATTCATCGCCTACTAATGGAGCGTACTAGTATCCTTCTTGTGTACTCTTGCTGCCATTTGTTTCCCAGGAATATTTGACTGCACTTATTTTCCTTGTGATGCTAGATGAATTATCTATTTGTGTTCTTAACAAAATTAAGCTCCAAACACTTTCACGATCTTCCAGTCCCAGGAGCACGAGCTTGTAAACAAATACAGTTATGTTGTTAGCCTTTGGAGAAGAGTGAGTACTAGTCACTAATTGCTTGTATAAATTTTAAATATTATTCTTAAGCAGTTCATACCATTATATTTTATATGAATATTTTTTCAGGCATCAACTGTCACTGGAGAACTGCGATATGCTGATGCATTAAGGCTACTAAACACTTTGGAGGATGCATCCAAAAGGTTAGACAACATAAATAAATAGAGCAGTTTTGTTGATGGATTAGACCACAATTATACTAGAGAAACAAAATTCACGGGCCCGTTCTTCATTGGTTCTTTTGCCTCTTGACAAGTAACAAGGCTTTTCATTTGTGCAGATTTGTTGATCAAGTTAACACGACCCTTGCCCATCTCCATCCAATTAACTGTACAAGAGAGAGAAAAATGCAGATGGTGTTTGATGTGACAACTGTTCCTGCTTTCTTGATTGTTCTAGGGTGCCTTTATATGGTATTAAGGCCAAGGCGACCAAAACCAAAGATTAATTGAGGTTTCCAGCTACTATCATTATGAGTTTTAATTAGATTGTTACAATGATTTTTTGTTGTTAGTACAAGGGTTTACCTTGCTAGTTTTATACATAAATACTTTTGTTGTGTAGGACTTTAAGATGAATTTTGGATAATTCCTCAGCAAATATTGATTTATGGCTATTTCCTTTATGCACCATTTTCCCTTGCAAAATGAGCTATTTAAAAGCTTGTAATATATTTGTATCATTAGTTATGTTCTCATATAATTTACGTTTGTATAGAAAAGTACAGCCAAGTGTGTAAGAAGTGCTCATTTTCAGAAGGCCCTGCTAACATGTCTTTGCTGTAATTATATATCATGTTTTTGTTCATGAGTCATAGAGGTCAATATTGATTTTAGTATTTAAATTAGTATATATAACTGCATTTTATCAATTAAGTTTCAACTTCAACCATGTCAGAAATATCTTAACTCTACTACAACTAGTTGATGACTTGTTTAAGAAAGAACTTCTAATTCTAGTCTGAAAGATATTGCTCACACATATTACACAAACATTGATTATGGTTTGTTGTTAACATTCACATAGAAGTCGTGCGCAAATCAGCAACTTCCATCTACCAAATAGTAAGACGATGATCACTTTGTACTATGTGTCTTATATGTCGCACATAGCTATCACATGTCATATGTCAGTGGATAATTTAGGAGTTGACTTGCAAGAAAATACGAATGAGTGTCCTGCAACTCATAATTAACATGCCACCTCACATATTATACATATCATCCCCTCAAATTTTATTATTTTCAAAATATCTCTTTCACTATTTATTCTAAATTTTTTATTTTTATAAAATTTTTTTTTACTTTGGTCAAAGGTGATAAAAATTAAAATTTACGTACATTCTACAAATTTCTGGTTGTCATTTAATAGAAATTTTGAAATTTTTGATTGCGATTCATCGGAAATTTTAAAATTTACGTAAATTTTTACAAAAGCCATTACATGTATCAAAAATTTGGCAATTCTCTGGTAGAAAACTTTTATCGGGAATATCGAATTTTCGGTGTATCGAAAATTTCAATTATATTTGAAAATTCCGGTATGTTTGCAAATGAAGTTTTATATTTTTGCGGTCTTGAATCCACAACTTCAACTTCTATATACTGATTTTATGCAGTTTTTCATCACAAATATCGTATGTTTTCTATTTAATTTACACTTTTTTTTGTTGTAAATTGATGAAGTTTACTCATTATATGTTATTATAATTGTCAGATTTTTGAATCACGAGATAAAGTTTTAGAATGGGCACAGTCAACTGGAAAAAAAATCATGGTATTGTTGTTGTTACAATTCGATTCGATTCTGCTAATGGACAGCGAGGGAGGAAGGATAAATTGATTATAGATTGTGACAAAGGAGAAAATTACAAAAAGAAAAATGAATCTGCGAATCTTCTGATGACAATTATACTATGAAGGTTAGATGCCCATTTAGGCTGAGATCTATTTCAAGTGGTATCAGTTGAAAGGTGATGGTTAGATGCGGAATGCACAATCATAGACTAGATAAGGATTTGAAAGGCCATGACATATTGGGTCGTCTAAAAGATCATGAACGAAAGTTTGTGAATGACATGACGAAGTACAACATGGTACCAAGGTACATCGTGTCTGCTTTGAAAGATAACTATCCAAAAAATCTCATGAGTATTACCCAGGTATATCGAGCTAGAGCAACATACATATTGGACAAGAGAGGTGCAATAATAGAAATGCAAATGTTATTAAGCCTTATTCATAAAGAGAAATACATGTGTTGGACTAGAAATAGGGAGAATTTAGATATTATGGCTGATATCTTCTGGACACACCCTGACTCTGAAGTTGTTAAATTTGTTTCCTCTGATGTTAGTTATTGATTGCACATACAAGAAAAATAGGTAAAAAATTTACTTCTCCCATCCTAAAATATGTTGAGTGAGCAGGTTGATGAATGTGCATTTTAATCGTGCAGGTATCGACTACCACTGCTGGAGATTGTTGGTGCTACATCAACAAAATTGACGTTTTCAGTTACTTTTGCCTATTGGGAACATGAAAGGGAGGAGAGCTTCACATGGACACTACAAAAGCTCAAAGAGTTGTTCTATTCAGAGAAATTGCTATCAAATATTATGGTGACGGACCGGGAACTTGCATTAATGAATGCCATTGATTCTGTGTATCTAAATGCAACTCATTTGTTGTGTATATTCCATATTTCAAAAAACGTGAGCATGAAATGTAAAGAGTATGTGAAATCAGAAAGACAAGAACATGTCATGGATCAATGGAACAACATCATGTATTCAAATACAGAAGACGAGTTTGATGTACATCTCAACCACTTCGAGAGTGTTTATGGTGATATTTCATCATTTGTCAAGTATGTGAAAGAAACATGGTTAACACAATATAAAGAAAGATTTGTTGCTGTATGGACTAACAAAATCACTCAGTTAGGGAACACAACAACAAACAGGTACATTAGACTAATAAAAAATATGTTTATGTTTAGATATTAATTTGAAAGTTGTTTAGATAATATGTTCATGATTTCTAGGGTGGAGTCTGCACATTGGAGACTAAAGAACTTGTTGACTACAAGTCGTGGTGATTTATGTCGAAGTTGGGATGCTGTGAACACAATGTTGAAGTTGCAGCTAGGTTCCATCAGAGTGTCGTTTTAAAAAAGTATCGCCAATTTTGAGCATCGGTATAACACCCCCATTCTATTCTAAATTGCACTGTTTTATCTCAAGACAATGTATACACCTCATTGAAAAGGAACTAGAAAGAGTAAAATTTATTGGTGCAAGCAAGGAGAGGTGTGGTTGTTACATTATAATAACACATGGGTTACTGTGTGTGTGTAAGTTTTCCGGTTTCCAAATTCTAGGCACCCCTATACCTTTGTAATCAATTCATGTGTTTTGGACAAAATTGCATATTTCAGAACATGATGTGAGTCATGATGAGAGTAAGTGGGATTTAGAAGAAGAGTGTGAAGAGTTGAAGAGATATTTCAATACTGTGGATATTGTGGGTCAGAGGGTGTTGAAGAAAAAAGTTTATGATCTAACCTATCCATCCACAACTTCAATGTGTCCACTACCGGTGAAATACAAGTCAAAGAGGAGAGTTAAGAATAGTAGAAAAGGTGAGGAGAGTGATGTGCATCGTAATCCTAGTCAGTGGGAGTCTGCCGATGGTTCACAAGGGAGTCAGACTATGAAGAGATCATGCACAAAATGAAGTGGAAGTCAATCGTCAACTATGCTGATTGGTAAGCAACCTTCTACCAAATCTGTAAGAGCTGAGTACTTGTCACAGTTTTCTACTTTCTTTCATCCATACATCGATGACATTATTGAAGTTGATAATGATGGAAACTGTGGTTTCCGTTGTATTTTATCTTCATTAGGATGAGGGAAGGTGCATGTTATTCAGTTCGGAAGCAGTTGGATACTCAAGTCCATCAACACGTTGACTTGTTTTCCAAGTTATTCTATGACACTGTCTCTGTTTTTAGGACTTCGTTACAAGTAAAACACTTGGATTACCGGTTAGTACGGTTCGGTTTGACCCGATTACATGAGAGTCAAATAATTGTATTTTTTGACAAAAATTCAAAAAAATTCATTTAGCAGAAATGATATAGCAGAAAAACTCATAAATTATAATAAGCATCGTGATCATTATATCAAAATTAGACATTCATTTTTGAACATAAAATCTACAACTTAGGTAGTTTTTGTTGAAGCTTAAATACTAATTGTTCTTGAAGCTTAAATACTGTGTTAGTACTAAAACTACAGTCATCCTTCATATAAAAATTAATATGAAAAGCTAACATAATATCACAACCAACACTAATTATAATATGTCTATCATCATACTTCCAACACTGATTATAATTTCTGTCCATCATCATAATTTCAGAAAACCCTGATTAAGTAGTCTCCCTCATAATCTGCAAGAGAAGTGTTGTTTCAGAAATAAAATACTACATAACAATATTATTCAAATTCAACTACGCAAAGCTTTTGCTTCAATTTATAACCTACAAAGCTTTTGCTTCTGTAGCAGTATGCAAGAAAAATTTCACACCAATTTATAACCTACAGAGCTTATGCTTATATAGCAGGATGCAATAAAAATATAACCGATAAACAAACTTATAAGATTTTGCTTCTCTAGCATTAATTTCACACCAACTTATAACATACAACCTTGTCAATTACCTTAGACAAAGTGGAATTAGCGTATCATGTCTCAAGTGTTAAATTTAATTTATATTTTAGATATTGATTTATATTTAGGAATATCTTTTTAGAGGATATTATTATATCTTTTTATATCTTTGTTAGAAGATATAATTTTGTGTATAAATAGCCTAGTGGGGTAGGTTATTGTAATTCATTGTAAATCCTTATTTTGAAGCTGTCAGTAAATATAATTCTTTTGCTTTTTATCTCTTCCTTGTGCAACAACAATTGGTATCTAGAGCTCCTGGTTAGAAACTCTGGAATTTGGGAAACATTGTTTCATTGATAAAAATTCTGGGATTTGGGAAACATTGTTTTCATTGAGTTTCTGTGTAAATTACACAAGGTAGAAGATGAACGGAAACAGCGACGATATCCATTCCAAGCTTCCAGTATTTGATGGCAAAAACTAGAATCGTTGGAAGATCCAGATGTGCGTGTTATTTGGTTCTCAAGATGTGTTAGATCTTGTTACCGATGGCTATAATCTATTAGAAGCAGGCGCAACAGAGGCACAAAAGGTAGCACAGAAGGCGCTGAGGATGAAAGATCAGAAGGCGTTGATCTACATCCATCAATGCGTGGATGCTAATGTGTTTGAGAAGATTGCTGATTCTGAAACAGCGAAGGCTGCATGGGACACACTGGTCAGATGTTACGGTGGTGACATATCAGTGAAGAAGGTGAAACTTCATTCTCTCAGAAAGAAATATGAGAATCTCAACATGAAGGACAACGATAAGGTTTCTGAGTACATCTCTAGAGTGATTCTGATCACTAATGAGATGAAAGCTTGTGGAGAAACCCTTTTTAAACAAACAATCATTGAGAAGATCTTTAGATCTTTAACTTCTTAGTTTGATTACATTGTGGTAGAAATTGAACATTCCAAAGATCTGAGCACCATGAAAGTTGAAGAGCTGCAAAGTAGTC